CGTTCATTGAATACTTCCATTGAGGAAACCACCACGTACGCCGAGTCGACGATTTGCATATGATTCTCACCCCATTCTTGCATTCATTCCTTTGGTACGCGCAATCTTACTTGCTTCTCGCTCTTTCCATTGTCGGCTATCTTTGCGTATCTTTTTTCAAAGAGGTCGTCGTGCCGACGATACAGGAATAATATTCGATCTAAAAGTCGCATACATACTTATTCTATCGCATATGAACCCATCTACTACGCGCGTAAAATCTGCAACGAATTTTATTGTGTCCCGCGTAAATACGCGCTTTTATCGGACGATCTTTTTGCTACCTCGCCACTATGACATATTGACATTATGCTATTTAGGTTGATTGCCGTAAAAGGCACCATATCTGCTTTTCGGTTTTCGCAGCCGTAAAAATACCACCATTTTTCAAAAAAATCACAAAAAATGTCACACAGCTTTTGACAATATTCGGTCTTCTTTCAGAATCTTTATTACATAATTTAAACAATTTTCTTGCAATTTTGTTCTTCCTTTACTGCATATTTTTATTATTTTGAAAATTTAATTTGATGTTTCCTATGTCTATTTTATTATGTCTATTTTTAAATTTCTTCACTTGAATAAAATCATAATAAAGAAATATATATCCCTCTATCCACACATTTAGATTTTTTTATTTACGAATTTTTTTATCTACGAAAATTTTTTATCTCTTACCTTAAGTCTAGAGAAAAAAATTGATGCATTCGATAATTTTACAGAGCATGTCATAGATACAATGAAATATAAAAATTTATATTAATTAGAATTAATTTCTCGGAAGAATATGTTCACGATTGTATGTATTAGTCGTTTGGAAGTTTAATAGAATTAATTAGGAACGCTGTTCTCTCGAATTTAACTTAAATTAATTTTAACAATAGATACTCTCTTCAAATCGACTCGAGCACGAAACGCTCGAATGAAGTCGATATTCATTACGACTTTTGTTGCCTAATCATTGTGGGACGCGTCGTTACATGTAAATGCTGTCAAACAACTCGAATAATCATGCACGATACGTTGGGGAGTATCGACTCGTTCGAAGCACGCGATTGCTTCTTTGGATATTCTGTTAAATATTTAAATGCCAGTGAGGCATGAGGCATGAGGAAACAAGCCGCTTATTTCGGGACGGAGAAAAAAAATGCTTTAGACGAGAGAATTTATAAGATTTCCGATCCGCCATGAGCTTGCGTGACTGGCTTCGCGCAATCCGATCCTTTGACATAAAGGAAACGGAGAAGAAAGATGTCGCGCATTCCATAAATCTTTTATCAATTGCAGTTTTAAACACAAGTATAATTGTTAATCTCGTTTAAATAACGAACGTCTTAGTATAGATAGGAAATAAAGTGTATAATACGGCCATTTGTCTGCAAGTAGTCGCATCGTAAGTGAAACACGCATGCGAGAGTAAAACGCGGCCAACCCCTCGGCATTGAAACTAAGTCAGTTTTATGAATGAGAGAAGGAAAACATTTGTCTTCATGTTTCACGTTACCTTCCTTGATTTATATCTCGCAAGAATATGCTGAATAATTAAAAGAAAGCAATTACTATGGTCAAAAATGATGGCAATCTATATCAAAGTTGAAAAATAATAATTATTCTGAGATCGTTTAAAAAATTAAATGTATGAAAAACAAAATTATTATAAATATATTTATATGAATTATTACTACAAAAAGTTAAAAAATTGATTTTATCATGTATATAAATATAGAAAGTAAATAATAAAATATTTGAATAATGAAAAAGATTTATAAAAAAGATTTTTTAATTAACGTAAAGAAGTTGTTTCTACCAATATTTTTATGAATTATCCTTAAAGAATATTAATAAAATAAAGAAGCGGCATATGATTATTATATAATGTTGATTTTAGGTGTTATAATCTTATCAAATTTAACTAAACAGAAAGTTTTAAAATATATTTTGCTTTTTGGTCGGCAAAAGCATACGCGCAGCGTTTGCTTTGAAAATTTTAACATATACGCCGGTTGGGAACATATGGTATACGTGGTTGGCTTACGAATAGCCGAATCACAACCTGCGAGAAGTGTAACATATCGCAGGTTTACTGGGCGGAAGAAAAACACGAATATCAAATACCCTTCGTAAATTAGAAAATTTGCGAATTCGTTTCTGCAAATTTAATATAGATTTAACACTTAATATCGTACGTGGAATTACTAACAACTTCTCATTGATATGTGAAATGATATGTGATTTATAGAATTTCAGGAAGTCATAATATTATATTTTTATGTTATTTGCTTATATTATTTTTTAGTTTAATTTTCATTAAAATTTTTTTATTTAAATATGACATGTTACATGTCTCTCTAGAAATTATATATATGTATATGTATCTATATATGTGTGTGTATATATATATATATATATATATATATATATATAATTAAATAAGAAATTTATGAAATTATTAGTTTTTCAAAGATAATAATAATTGTTTCATGAAGCTATTTGCAATAATATAACTGAAAAAGTTCTTTTAATAGAAAGATTTTGCGAGATTATTATATACATTAATAAGTTATTCTTTTTTTTTAATTATCTTGTACAAGCACTTAAAGCAATTAAAGATTAAATAATCTTCACAATTTTGAAATAATTTTACTCATATAATAAAAATTTATGTTAATTTACGTAAATTTACGTTTATTTCTTGTAAAATTAATTGTTATCTAAAAAAATAGCTTCAAAAATATAATAATAATAAAATTGTAGGCGCAACACTGCTATTAATATAATTTATTAATAATTTTTATAAATATTCTGCATATAATATGATATGTTCACCGGAATACGAGAGAGACAAAATTTGTATCAGATTTATGTCAAAGTATCACAATGCCACAGGAGTGTCTATTACACAACAAAAGAATCGATATCAACAGTCAGAATAACGAGTGATCAGAAATCTGCGTAGCGATCGCAATTTTCCGTTTCTATTTCGTTATTCGAGATACGCAACCACTCGATATATCGTATTTATCTTTTCGACAAATAATATTGTGTCTTTTCGCTTATATATAAGGACCCGGATGGTAATTATGCGAGTATACGACAACTACCTCGAAATGTTCCTATTTCGGCAATCCCAAGAGACTACGGTAAATCGCGATACGAATAATATTCGGGTCGGATATTTATCGGACTGACAAGATCCTTCGTTTTTTGAAGCGAAATATTATCATGCTCGTTCAATCATCCTTTTGTCTTGAGAATTCATCGAATACTCTAGATGTTTTCCTCGGAGTATCTCCCATGTGATCGCGAATTTGCATTTTGAAGAGCCTTTTCGTTCCCGTATCTGTTTCGTCATTGATTCCCAGCGGAAATGTTCAAAGTCTTCCTAATGCATTTAGTTCGTTCGTGTGATATTCTTTTCGCTGCGCAATTCTCTTCCACTGATTTTATCATTTCCGCTCCTATCGTCCTATGTTTAATTATTAATTTTATTTTTATAATTTTAATTTTTTTTTATGTCAAACACGTATTTTTCTGTAATATTTTTTATTATTAATTTAACTTGTTTTATTTCTTTATCTTTAACATAATCTTTCGAATGTTATGTTCCCTTACTGTAAGTTTCATTCTTAAATTTTTATTAATTTTCAAATTTTTCATTTTTTGATTCCCTTATTAAAAAATTTTTTATTTACTTTAAAATTAAATTTTTTACTCGATTACTTTGTTTCGAATTTTCGAAACGCATTTGTCTTCATATTAAATACATAACTTCCTTTATTATTAAACTTTACAAAAAACGCATTGTACAAAAAAAGAATAAAATATCATTAGGAGAACTGTGCGGAGCAAAGGATCAGGGGAACCTAGGAACTCTAGGGTAAGAGAATGTTATCCGCGTTCCTATCGATTTCACACATTCAACAAAAACGCTACATCTATGTGAAAGCGTTAAGAAAAACTTGCACGTATCTCGCAAAAAAAACCTAACACTTTTTATTTGACGAAACTAGTTAATACCACGTTAGGGCATCTTGTGCGTAATTTTGGAACACGCTCCAGCATTCTAGTCTTTCGTTTTAGCCGTAATTTCTTTTTTTTCTCTATTTTTTCAAAAAAAGACGTATGGTCTCGCAAAGTGGACATGCCAAGTATATCGAAAAAGAGAGCTTAAAAGAGAAAGAAGAAAATAGTTTTTATGTAAATAGAATAAGATTTCTATAAAGAAAATTGTGCTGTAGTGTAGAACTATACGATAGAGATATTTCCTTAACATAATTTTCCTAGCTTCGTTGCTATATTATTTGTTTAAAAAAAAATTGCTGCTACTTTATATTTACGTTTGCATTTTATAACTGTCAGCTATCACTTAAGTGAGAATGCCGTTAGTTTATTTCGCGCGTAAAGTGGAGTTGAAATTTTCTGTTGGCACGATGTTATTTATATTAAATTCTTCAAGTTTGTTGGTACAATTTTCTATCGAAAACTATGTTGGCTTGAAGTTGACGGCAATGTATGATGAATAAGCAAAGAGCGTTGTCCAATATAAAATTAATCAACTTCTTGCATACAATGCTTTACAATCCATTTCATTAACATGCATTACTTATAAAATATTACTATTTTTTAATTAAAGTATAAAATTTTAAAGAGTTTAGTTATTATTAAACTTTGAAACGAAACACGAATAAATTAGAGAATATTTTAGAGAAACATTATACTTAGCTATATATTTTTATATTGATTTTATATTGATTTTATTGATTACCTTTAGCTCTTTTAATTTAAGCAAAATATAATTACATTTTAATAGTTGTTAAAAAAAAAAACAAATTATACGGTTGGTTAAATGAAATACTCATTAATTGTATTGTATTTATGTGTCGAAACAATTAAAATAATGGAAATGAGCGTTAAAAGTAAATCTCTCTTCATATTTCTTCATATTTCTTTTGTATTTCCAGCTGTTTCGAGAGCGTTGTATGTCTGAGAAAAGGAGAGAGAACGACGAGTATTTTATGATCATCATGAGGACACTCTGGATCGTGGTGGTCATTCTACTCGAAATACACTTGTACTTCACAGGTAAGTTTAAATTTAATAATTTATAAAACTACTTTCCTGCATTGTTATATTTTATATCACACGATTTTCTTATCAAAATTTGTTAAAACAATAACAACTTGCATAAAATTTGGAATGTTTTTAAAAACAAAGAATCTTTTTAATGATTTATAGAAAAAGCGATTTTTTAAATTCTGTGAAAAATATAATATTTATTACGTCTAATTTTATTAAGTATACAATTACACATTTAGAATTTCTTGCTCTATTTCGAATATTACATACATAATTTTGCCGCATGATTTCATTAGGAGAGTATGACTTTTATGAGATTAAATTTCAGAATTGTGGAAACGACATACTCATTCGTATTTCTGTCTCGTGTGTTCTCCTCTCGCAAATCGCGTGTTTAAGTATAGCGGCTCTTCTAGCCTAAATAATTTTGTTTCTAATTCTCCTCCGCGTCGTGCTCATCCTCGTCAACATTCGCTTCACGGTGGCATACAATTTTCAACGTTAATGATGCCGCTTAAAGAAACACAAGCGTTCACGGCGCACGCCACACTCTTCCGTACTTCCGCGTTCGAGCGAGTTATTTTCGTGCTGGCAACTAGAAAACACTTAATCTGGTGGCTGACAAGCAATTTCCGGTTATCGTGTTGAAAATCCGCGGCATACTTGCGCCTTGTTAATGTCGAGCTTTTCGACGAGTGTATTGAAATCATGTGCTTATATATCTTGATGACTCTCCTCGGGAGACATCGATATCATTGGCACGGCTATAACAGACAAATTTGCAGAACGTCTCATTTTCGAACGAAACGACGCAGTACTGAAAATTTAGGTCGTCGCCGTAACACCTCCGAAGCTTTAGATCTAATTGAAAGTTTAATTAAATGCACACCGGCCCCTATTACCAGGCCGTTTTACGATTCCCGATTCGGCAAACTTTCTGAAATTGTGCCAGATTAATCTTTTACTACGTGCGAATACTAATCACTGGTAAATTCAATTTAGAAAATTGTACCAAGTCGGTTTTACCTCATCTTTATATAATAAGGGACAAACATTTAAAATTTAATGTATCTAATCGCTAATTAATTATTTCTATTTGATTTTACTTTTGAAAACACATTGCGTCATAGTTTATATATATTTAGAATATATATCTTAAAAATACATATATTTAAAATTATATTATATTTTCAAAGATTTAGATATCAAGATTGACTGACACTTGATTGACTGAAGCTAATTAAATATTTTTGCATGAACAATTCTCAAGTTGATAGGATACTCTGTGCAATTAAACGATGAATGCAAACACACAGCGAGAAGGAAATATGAAAAGATGTTTCTAGATGTGATTTATGATAGATTCGCACGGATGCATATGTTTATTCGCTGATTTTTATTAATTATTTACTTTTTATTAATTATCATAAAAATCGCAAAACGGTACAGGAATTCTCAGTTTAATTCGCTTTACTTCTTTTCGATATGTAATTATCAGATGTTCTATATACACATTATATAATTGTAATCGGAATATTTACGAACGTGTTCGTTCAACATAGCGGAAACTTAAATAAAAACCAAGTAATGCAGTTAAAGTAGTCGCGTGCTATTATATTAGAAGAACTTCAACTAAATGAAATACTGCCGTAAGTGTACACGCGGCGTATATCTCGCAACATTTTAAAAGCGAACTTTGCATCGTCGGCGCGAGGCGTCAAATTTCGAGCTTCAGTTTTCAACTCGCAGAAGAGAAATAGAAACTTTCTGGATATTTGCCGGTTGTGTAAAGAGGCGCTCGCGGATAAAATCTGTTTTTTTATCGGGGAAGTCCGAAGGGACAAGAAATTGCGATTGCGAGGGACAAACTAGTGCAATGTGAGAAAGTTTTCGGCTGAATATCCGCGGGAATTCGCCGCTGTTTGGCGCATCTTGGCCACCGGTAAACGCTCGGCCGAACCGTAGTAATTGCCATGACTAAGTTATTCACTTAAGCCACTCGGGCGACGCTCGGGTTATGCGTTATCGTCGGGATGGTGGGCTGCATTAATCTCGGAGCAGGAGGGTGTTCTGTCATCTCTCTCTCTCTCTCTTCTTCTCTCTCTCTCTCTCTCTCTCTCTCTCTCTCTCTCTCTCTCTCTCATTCCCTGCGCCGCGCCCTTCGTCAACTATGGAAATCATCCTTAATCCTTGATCGTAGCCTTAGAACTAACAGACCTTGGAGGGACAGATATTACGAACGGTATAAAACTTTCCTAGATGTGCGAGAAAATACGTGATTTCTCAAATTTTATTGTAGTTCTTTTGAAATTCTTATTTAATTGAATCTTTTAAAAGGCTTTAATTAACCGATTCTAATTTACTAAAATCTACATCAGATAGATTGGAAAGAATAGATTTATATTGAATTTTTATCTACACATACATGTTGTTTTGTCTTAATAATGTTTAAGATTACGTTAGAAATACTTTTTTAACATACTTTTATATATTCTATAAAAGAACTTTTTCGCATATTATTATTGTAACAAAATACATGGCATACGCATACAATTCATTGTTTTATAAATATGTAAAAAAATGAATAAAAGTTTAGAATATTTTTAATACGTTTCATACGTAGATCATAATTTTTGAAGTACATGGCGTCTCCTCAGAACATATAGTAACAAACGTATGCGTCACAAAAATTGTTATAAATATCTGAACTCAATTTTCAAATTTAGAATTTGTGATGATAGATAAAAAATTATAAATATTTATTCGTTAATTTGACATGTCGTACACAGATGTTACTTGGACAAAATAGTATCTATCTTTAGAAAACATTGTTATAATTTATGTTCGCAGTGAGCCAGGCGAAGCATCAGCAGAACTCAAGTGCCAATAATGCAATCGCCCCATTGAATAACCCGGAGGGTAAAAATGAAGGTATTGAAGGACCAATTGGAGAGGTGCTTGCTCAAAGTGGTGGCACGGCAATTTTGCCGTGCAAAATTACTGATCCTGGAGCTGGAACGGTAAGTGTTACACAGTTTATGTAATGATGTATATTTTACATTTTCAAATTTTGTATATATTAATGTTTCTTTCTCTAGAAATGTTGTCACATGTCATTTATTTTTTATACATACAAAATATGAAAAATTGAAATATGATCGCTTTTGTCAGCGTTTTTATTTTTGTTATTTGAATATGCATTGTTAAAAATAATATATATATATATATAAAGTAAAAATTAAAAATACGACTCCCTCATGTTGTATTTTAGTAATATGTAATTTAATACGCTACAAGTTGAATATTTTATATATATATAAATTTTATTTTTATTAATATCTACGACAATTTATAATATATGAGCAAAAGATATTATAAAAAGAATTAAAATTCCTATTTGTTATATGAATGCATAAATTAGCTGTTGAAAACGACATTATTCGCTGAATTCCAATGCTTAATTGAAATGCGTAAGTGAGTAATTTTGAATCAGGAAATTATTTCTCTGAACGAATATTGAAATATTAATAATCAGCATTTTTTTCCGCTTTATTCTCCTCTCTCGTGCCATTTCTCTGCTCATCTCAAAAGCCTCTCGACTTCTTCCATTCACACTAGATTTTCCAGATTTTCATTTCCGTTATACAGACAGTCCGAACGATCTTCATTTAATTTCCGTTTCCTATCGTGCACATGCCAAGTGCGAATGATTTGTAAAGAAAAGAGTATTCGCTGTTTCTAATATGGTTGGCGTTCGTGTCGTGATGAAACGACTATTCAAATGTAAACCATCGGGACGTGAATGGCAAACGCGAAGATAAAATTTGAAATGTCAAAGGAGCTCTTTGTAAAAGAAATATCTCCCATCACAGACATTTTTAAAGTTAGAAAATACAAATATAAATTTTCTTTGGCACGTGAATTATTTCGACATTGCATGCTGACAATATTTTTAGTCGTGTTTTATCTTCATCACTTATGTCTCATAAAAAAAGTGAATTACATAACACGCTAAGACAACGACATGCGTGACTAATTTCCACCATCGTGTGATAATGACGTTGATATATCTCCACACGCGTCCATAGTTCTATTTAATGAAGAACACAATTACACAAGCTCGTTCTTCAAAAAAGCAAAGAATTATTTTTGCTGGTAAAAATGTAAAATCAAATAAAACAATAAATATTTTTAACTTTATCATAAAAAGATTTTTTGTGTAGACATAAAAAATCATATATTTTTATTGCGGGATATAATATTGAAAATTACATATAAATTGATATAAGTACACGTATGGATAATCAAAATAAATCCATATTGTACATTAAATTAATTGTCTTTCCTTGTTTAAGAATTTTTATGAAAAGATATTTATTTTCAAAATACATTTGAAAAAATTTGATAAGTTTTTAACTTGATATATTTTCAACATGACAGAAGTTTCCTGGATGGAGATATAGACAAAATTCAAATAAAGTAAAAAAAATGATGTAGAAAAAAAGGAATGAATGACTATCTCATACATTTGTCTCATACCTAGGTTTGACATGCGTCGTAGCGTGTTTTAATAACTGTTTGTGAAACTCAGGCTTCTCCGATTTGTCGAGTTTGTCGATTGAAAGCGCAAACAGGTAGATATTCCATCCCTTACGGAGATATAGATTCCGTGTAACCACGCAAACAATGTGCGTCCCGAATACACACATACACACACACACACACACACACACATACGGCACGCGGTATTGAAAGCGGAAACGAACGCGATGCGCCACACTGGGAGTATAAATGATAGGTCGATACGGTATTTTTGCACGTGAGTTGCAGGCCGTTTGCCTTTTTTTCCTCTCTTTTTTTCTACGGTCCCCGCTACGTACTTTAATGCTGTAGCCGTCAGTCCAGCAAATTGCCCTAGTTTACGGTCTACAACGGCGCGCTACTCCGACATAGCGTATGCTCTTTGTCTTATTTAGTGCCATCCCCAAGGAAAATGAACCGACAATCTGCGTGAAACAACGAACGCATCTGCATTCGTGCTTCATTCCGAATTATTTTCATTCCTGCTGGATTCCGCATTTCAGTACGCGATATACTAATTGACAATATACGAGAAAATCAAAAAATGTTCATTGTGCATGTATCATGAGTTATAATTTTTCTTCGCGGGATTTATTCGCACCTCTCACGTGCCCTGATCTTTTAACATTTACGCTAACTGGGGCTCTTCTCGGAAAATTGAAGATTACACCCTTCGCGCTGATGAAATTCGATATTTGGAATGCCTACGAACGTGAACTATGCCGAATTCCACATCGTAACCGGAACCGGTTCCGTTGGACCGGATGCTCATTATACTTCACATCCTCGCGAAGTTCGCTTGGAAATATTTTAGAATATTTTAGCGAACTTTGGCGTTAAACCGACGGCGCGCCAGATGCCGCGTGAACTGTATCCCTCTTTTTTTCTTCCTTCCTGGCAGAAGGGAGGAGAAAACGAAAGGGCAATCCACATTATGTGCATACGCGATCGAGATGGTGGAAACATTCTTCTCTCGATACTACGGCGCGCGGTATACTTTAGAAATCGGAATGGAATTCCGAGAGTCGACAGACGATTCTCTCTGTGCGACAGGCGATGCACGTTCCCATGAAATTCCGACGGATTTCCCGTGCCGACATCACGACGTGAATGAGACGTAAAGCCGACTTTAAACGTGCGTTTTCCGGCACACAGCTGCTTCATGCCGTTTGAAAAACGGACTTGTGTTGTATAACTATCGTATTTGGATCTTATACCATATGGAGTTCGTTAAGATTTATATATTTATTGCCTTCGCAGTGTTGTAAATTTTTTGATAGATTTACGATTAAATCTCGCGACAACTGTATCCTTTAGTATGGATATTTTTTACTAAAAACTTTGCACTGTAATTCCTTCGGCGTTTTCCGCATTTATAAACATAGCTCTGCACTTGTGCACACTTTCTTCCTTTAGCATTTAATAAAATTATATTTCTTTCTCTGATCAGATGGAGAAATGTCAGATATTCTTTTGAATTCTGTACGCGCTTCTTTCGTAAAAAGAACAGATGCCTTTCTCGCTTTGATGTAGATCGAAATTACGTTTCAATATTCGTCAGAAACAAATCGATACGCGTTGCGTAAGCTGAAGCCCGCCATGAACGTGCACGAAAACTTGGGAACGTTCTCTCTGGAGATGTGGCATGTTTATACGAACTCCATGGAGAGTTTACTCTTCTCCCTTTGATTTCTGGATTTTACAGCTCCGCTGGGCACGGAGAGTAGGAACTTGAGCTCGTAATTTACTTACAGCGAGACTGTTTCAGGTCTCTTTCCACTTCACGCATTGCCAGAGTTATGTACAAATTTAATGAAAAACGATTACGTTTTTAACACCATCATTTTCTCTATAGAGTTATTAGTCTTTAGAATTAATTTTCTTCATTTCCATTCGATTATATCAATGGAAATGAAGAATCTTGCATAAAAAAGATCTTATTTAAAATATTAGAGAGCATTCATATTTTAATTGAGTCAAATTTTAGATGAAAACTCGATTTATTATTTAATCATTCGTGTAAAATAAATGCTATTTGACGAGATGGCGGAAAACAAATCTATTGAAAATGAATATAGATATGTTGAATGTGTATCAATAATATATGGATAGATAGTATTATATATAAATATTATAGATAGTATAGATAATATATAGATAGTATTATATATAAAAAGAGAAATGTAGCTGTAATTTTAAAACACACAAAAATTTTGAAAAAGTCAGAACCGATATTTCGAGACTTTCTATAGTTTGGAGGATTGACATATTTATTTATCATCTATCTCGCTGCTCCGACCGCTCGCTGGCGAGCTTTTGTTCTGGACGATACGAAAGTTGCAAAATCTAAGGCCACTTATGCAAAATTCTCTGTCACGAACCGCATATAACCTCGGCGGATCTCGCATCGTCGCCGACCATGAATAAAAGATGAATTCGTGCGCGTCTTGTGTACTACAGAAATACAGAAACAAGAAACAAGGCCGCCCTTCTTTATACCGCGACTAAGGCCAAAACAAATAAAAAGCGTCTCACTATCGTGGGTGGTAAAAAGGGAGATTCGAAAGAGGGAAGGAAAACGCGCATTATATCTTGTCTATGTAACTGCCGTCGTACGGAAGTTTATCTTTTCCGCGATGAAGTGACATGTATTCGTAACCGGATATGATATTCATAAAAGTTGTTCAAGCGACGAATAAACGGTATCCATAATATCTGAATTAACAGTACCCATAATTTCTGAATGAAAAATTAGAATTTCTGAAGCCATTCTTTCCATTCTTTTCCAATTTTATTTGATTCACTCATCTGTTCTAGTTATCTATCGAATTATTATTTTTGCAAATTAGTATGTTACGTATTAAAAATGAACATATCTTATATTGAGATAATAATATAAGTAACAAGTTTAAATCCTTAGATATGAATAGGAGATAACATTAGATTAACAATAATAAGATTAACAACATTAGATTTATTATATTGTACGAATTCTTTCATTACTACAAGTATAGAAACTTTTCACGTCTACTATCTTAGTGATGAATCACAGTGCGATCGCTATAAACTTTTGCACATATTTTTCATTTACACAGTATCGTATAAGATGTCGCATTATAAATTAAAGCATCAGACATTTTTTTCTATTTTATTAGCGAAACCGGAATTTTTCAATTTAAAATGCCATTTATCTTCGCTTTGGAATGAGCCGAAAAAGTTTCGCATAAAAGTTGAACAACGGAAATATTCAAAGCCGTTTTTTGTATCATCCAGGTACTTCATCCTCTGTTCTCTCAAGTATCCGGTGTTATTTTAAATCCGGAGGAAACCTGATATAGCGAATGTTTCTTTTACGACGGTCTGCATAGACATATGTACCCGAAATTTGCTTCGATGTGATCGTGGCTCTAGTGGTCGAATGTCTCGATTACGGTGCTGG